TTTTTTTTATTTTTCAATTTTTTTTATCCCCCTTTTTTTTTTTTTTTTTTTTTTTTTTTTTTTGGTACCGGCTATCAAACTCAGGCCCTTGCACTTGTGAGGCAGGTGGTGGCAAAACCACTGAGACAAATCCCTGACCCTATGACTATCTAAATAGCATCACCCACATTAATTCTCCTGCTTTGAATCAGATCCAAACTCCTTCCATATTCTTCATCATATTCTATAAGAATTTACATGACCTGCTCCCTGCCAGCCATCTGAAACTAATTATTGATATTCTCTAACGATTCTTAATATTTAGTTATTCCAGTCATCCCAGTATTTCTGAAATATAGGTTATTTCTACTTCAGAAATGTTACACTAGATAATCATTTTGCTGGGATCGTATTCCACTTACACCTTTTACAATTACATTGCCACCATTCAGACCTCAACTCACATGATATATCCTGAGATAAAATTCCTTTGGCCATTCTTTTCTTTAATCTTTATTAAGTTCACTGATACATTTTAGTTATACATTACAGTTATATTCATCGATGTATCTTGGTTCTTATTTTTCCCCATTCCCAGCCCTCCCTGCACCCCCTCCATCCTTCCCTTTTTACAAAGACTTTGTTTCCATGTTTTTTCTTTTCACATATTTTTTCTTTGCCTTTTTTACCTTTTTCTCACACCTCCCACTTCCTCTACTCTGTTAGACCTTTTCTTCCTATTACACAATATCAATTATACATTTTGATCCTTATTAACACTTTGTTTCTCACACTAGAGAGACTATTCGGTATTTACACATGTGACTTAGTAATTTCATTTAAGAGTATGGCCTCAATGTGCATCCATTTACCTATAAATGTCTCCAGTTTTCATTCTTTATGGTTGAGTAGTACTCCATTTTATAAAAAGAGAAAACAAAACAAAACAAAACAAAAAAAAAAACACCTTCTTTGTGTAGTCTCCAGTAGATGGGCTTTTGGGCTGTTTCCAAATTTTAGCTATTACCAACTGAGCTGCTATAAACATGGGTGTGCATATATTGCTGTGGTGTGATGCTTTTAATTCTTTTGGGAAGATACCCAGCAGAGGGATGGCTGGGTCAAATGGGACTTGTAGTCCTAGTTGTTTGAGGTATCTCCATACTGATTTCCACAGTGGTTGCACCCGTCTGCACTCCCACCAACCATGGAGAAGAGTTCCTATCTCTCAGCAGCCCCACCAGCATTTGTTATTGGTTGATTTCTTGATAGCAGCCATTCTTTCTGGGGTAAGATGGAATCTCAGTGTTGTTTTTATATGCATCTCAAATGACTGGTGATGTTGAACATTTTTTCACATGTTTATTTGCTGCTTTTACTTGTCTGAGAAAGGTCTGCTCATTTCAGATGCCCACTTTTGAATTGGGTCTATATTTGGGGGGTTTGACTTTTTTTTAGTTCTTTATATATTCTAGAGAATAGACCTTTGTCTGTGAACAGCTGGTAAACATTTTTCCCACATTGCCATTCTTGGTAAGTACCTATGTATCAATTTTTACCTGAAATCCTGTTATGTTTAGAATGTCATGCTGTAGGAAACTCGGTGAGGGTAGCAACCTTGTATAGTTTATGGACTGATGCTTCCAGAAAAAACAGAACATTGCCTGGCACATAGTGAAATCAAAAAAATATTTTCAAACAAATGCTGCAAATAAGGAAATAAGGTTCTGGGAGTTTGAGTAAATATCCCAAATACCCCAAATTTCTATGATTCTGAAACCCACTTTCTTTTGGAGCTGCCAAAAGGCAGAAAAAAACAGACAGTAGGTGGAACTAGGTAATGTGAGGGTACCCTTTCAGGCCTTGCATTCTATTGTGGATACAATCGAAACAAAAAAATCTCAGTCATGCTTTTCTCCAGAGAGCCCTGCATTTCCAATGCAACAAGTAACATGGGAAATCTATTAATCTCCTATTTTTGTTATGTTAGACACATTGCAGGATTCAGAGGAGATTTGGGGCCATGCAACTTTTATTTTTACTTCCACTCACAGGCCTACAACTTTCCAATAAGCATTGTTGGGATTGCCCGCTTCTTATTTGCTTGAGTATCACGGTCTGTGTAAGCTGCTTGCTAGGCCTCTTCCCCTGCACGCAGCACACAAATGCCACAGCCGGCAGCCCTCTGGCTCACAGCCCAGCCGGCATGCAGCACTCTCATTGGCCCACAGCTGCTCAGGGGCGGGGCTTCTGTCTCAGGAGCTCTCCAAAAGGGGCGAGCAGCCCAACGTTGAGGCTCAGGCTCTCTTTCTGCCAGCTTCCTTCACTGAGCAGCGCTTTCCAGTCTGCTTTCTCTGTCCCGTCCGGCTCAGCTTGGGTCACCGCCTCAAACCAGGGACGCCATGCATGGATTTTGGTGACAGTGATGAAAAACCTTGTAAATTCGTCCGGGGTGTCCCAGGACGAACTGGAAGACCCATGGAAGAAGGGGCTGAACAGCACCGAGGATTACCTGACCTACCTGTGCGGACCGAGGCGCAGCCACCTGTTTCTGCCCATGACTGTAGTGTATGCACTGATTTTTGTGGTAGGAGTAGTGGGCAATCTCCTAGTGTGCCTGGTTATTCTTCGGGACCAGCTGATGAAGACACCAACCAACTACTACTTGTTTAGCTTGGCTGTCTCTGACCTCCTGGTCCTTCTCCTGGGAATGCCCCTGGAAGTCTACGAGATGTGGCACAACTACCCTTTCCTCTTTGGACCCGTGGGCTGCTACTTCAAGACTGCCCTCTTTGAGACTGTGTGCTTTGCCTCCATCCTCAGTGTCACCACTGTCAGCGTGGAGCGCTATGTGGCCATCCTCCACCCCTTCCGTGCCAAGCTGGAGAGCACCAAGCAGAGGGCCCTGTGGATCCTGGCCAGTATCTGGGGCTTCTCCATCATCTTCTCTCTGCCCAACACAAGTGTCCATGGCATCAAGCTCCACTACTTCCCCAATGGGTCCTCGGTCCCTGGCTCTGCCACCTGTACGGTCATCAAGCCCATGTGGATCTACAACTTCATCATCCAGGTCACCTCCTTCCTCTTCTACATCCTCCCCATGACCCTCATCAGTGTCCTCTACTACCTCATGGGGCTCAGAGTGAGTATCCACACTCACTGGCTGGGGCTTGTGTCCTTTTTCTTGTCCCTGGCTCAAAGCTCAGTGAAAACCTTAGCATTGCTGAGATTTGGAGTCAGAAGGGAACACAGAGAAAAAGATAGTGAATTGAGATGGGAAATTAAGGAGTTAGAGGACCTACTTCTAATTGAGCAAATAGTAAAACCATGGCCGGACGGCATTTACTTCTTCCGTTGTTAATCCCTCTGTCCTGGTTCTCATATGCAAGGGTTCCTAAGACCCAGCTAGAAAATTGACTGTGGGTACCAGTGCACAGCCCTCACCTGCAGGAACGCCTAGCACAGGTCATCAGATAGGACCTCACTTGAAATAAGCACCTCAGCTGATGCGTGGTCAGGTGTTTTCCCCCGAGGGACTTTTTCTTACGTGGGTATGGCTTTCCGTCCACTTCCCATTTATTCCGTGGTGAGCTTTTCTTACACACTAACTTGGTCTTGAGCATGACCACAAGTTTTCCCTACCTGTTTAATAACCCAAGACAAATGTATAATTTTCAAGTCAACATTTCCTTATGTTGCTTGACCCTCCAGTTGAAATATTAAATGAAAATTTTATATATATGTCTGCATCTATCTATCTACCTATCTACCTACCTATCTATCTTGATGCTCTGTGTGTGTGTGTGTGTGTGTGTGTGTGTGTGTGTGTGTGAATCTGCATCTATCTATCTACCTATCTACCTACCTATCTATCGTGATGCTGTGTGTGTGTGTGTGTGTGTGTGTGTGTGTGTGTGTGTGAGATCACCTTGGACTCCTCTTGAGCAGGTGGAGATGGGACAGAGAGGGAGGCACAGACAGCACAGGGAGAGTTACGAATATGAGTACCCGTCATCTGAGATGAAGAGGGAAGTGTCACTCAGTTTGCAATGTATAACTGGAAGTTCTCATCCTATGCTCATGGAGATAAACTGCTTCTTTTTCTTTTTTCTGGATCCCATCTCACTGAGACAAACCATTTTTATGAGGGTGCAAGTCTATATAATTCTTAGCACATCCTGCTCCCAAATTCATAGAGATGCAATTCTTGACTATCATACCCTATTTACATTCACTGAAGGAGGTAGCTTCGGTCTCAGGCAGTTAAGAATTACCCACACTTGCATACAGCACGCCTTTGGGCTGCCACATCATTCCCCTGGCCCTAGTTTGCATATGCATAAGTTGCAAAGGTTTACCTCCACTCTGGTCTAAGTCACCTTGTTGTTCCTGTGGCCTGTAATTCTCAAAAGAAAAGAAAAAGAGGGCTGGGGCTTTAGCTCAGTGGCACTGTACCTGCCTCCCAAGGGAAAGTTCCTGAATTCAATCCCCAGTACCAAAATAAAAAAGAAGAAAAAGAGAAAAAAAGCTTATTAGGAGGAGTAATGTGAGTTACAAATAAATGAATGAAATGATACCCTTCAAGATGATTCTGTCACTATATATGATGTGAACATTTAAATACTAGCATCCACCTGCCTCTGAGAAAGGTGACTGTTAAAAATGAGTGCCCCATAGGTGGACCTTTTAACTACCTCTCGATCCTAAGATACATAGCAAGGTCTAAGTGAAAAGGACAAATTTGAAATGCCCCAGACTTCTGGGCACAGGAGTGAATCCGCTCAGACTGAAGGCTGTGCAGGTTGCTGTAGGTGCCCGGCTCCTATATTCTCAGAGACTTTTGTCCCTCCAAACCAGTTCACAGCTATGCCTGTAACTTCCCCATACTACTCACTAAGAGGAATGACTTCTACATTTTCCTAAACTTCTCAAGACCTATTTAAAAGAAAAACACACCAAGAACTTATTAGTATCGTTTCCCCCAACATTAGTCATTTCTCTCAGGTCAAATTGGGAGGAATATTCAAATTTGAGTAAGGAACATATTCCCACAACCTATTACTTTGAGTTTCGCTGTGATAAACCCACAGCTAATTTGCATCAGGAGCTGAGTCACAAATCAGACAGTAGGTTAGACACCACCCAGAGTTGTCTTGTGTTCTCAGGAAGGATGGGTTTCTACCAGGTTACCAGGATACCAGGAGAGGAACTGTCTGCTTTGAAATTCTCTCCTAGAAGAATATAAATATCCCCAGGCCAGAAGTCTAGAGAGATAGCACCTATTCTGTACCTATTCCAGTTATACTGACCTCAGGGCTTCAGTACCCTTTACCTGAAAGGCTCCTGCTATTTGCCTTGTCTGCTTTTTGCTCCTCTACATCATACCCCAGGTGCAATTCCTCAGGGAAGCTCCCCCAGTCCCCGAGCTCTACCTGGGCCCTGCTGTAAGGGCTCAGGCCTCCTAGGAGTTTTCCCTCATGATAATTTATAATTCTATACTCGCAGATTCCTTAATATATTTCTCTTCAACTAGACCCTAAGCACAGTGAGTGGAAGAGGCTAAAAGGCCCCCTTATTGGGTTTCAGCTTCTCTACCTTTAAAGAAAGTGACTTGGAGACATTGTCTCAAAGGGCCTTTCTGATGTGTGAGGGTTTTTTTGTTTGTTTGTTTGTTTTTTGGACCAGGAATCTGAACTCAGGCCCTTGCACTTGCAAGGTCGGCAGCGGAGCCACTGAGCCAAATCCCTGGCCCCTGATCTATGAGATTTTAAAGAGAGCCAGGTGATCCTAGTGATATTTAAATGATGAACTCTCTTTGCAAATCTAAATGTGCAATTCGTTCTGGGTCCCGGTGCCTTTACAAGACATCGAACCTGACCCCTGGAGGAAATCGTAGCAGGGAAGCCACAGGCATACTCAAAATGAACACTCAGTGTTGCTTCAATGTTCTAGGACAGCAGTGGCAAAACTACGGCACACGAGCCCCAGCGGGCTGCTTGTATTATAGGAAACTCTCAGAGGTTCGCCATCGCTCTTCTAGGACATTAACCTCCACGGAGCTGTTCTCTAAAGGTGGAAAATTGTAAAGATGGAAAAGAGATCTTCCCAGGCAAGTTCCCTCCCAATCAAGAGGAAGCCCCGATAAAATGCTCTGCTAGTGTTTCTCTTTCCTACATTCTCCTTAAAGCTTGGGCTGACGCAGATGCCTGGAACAACCGCAGCAGAATTCAGCCAGACCAAGCAGGTGCATGGATACAGACCAACGTATAAACACAGATGTAGATATTGCCAGATGCACACAGATTCACCCATGCAGATGGCAAACAGATTATGTCAAGACTGTAAAGATAGTTACACAAATACACTATTATATCTTGTTGTGAAACATAACCTTCAGGAACCATGTAAATGATTAGTGAATGGAATTATTCATTTCATTTACTATAACCAGCTGACTCGAGTAATATACCAACCTGAATCAGCCCCAGAAACCTCCCTTTCACTTTGATGTCATATGGCCACACGGGGTAGCTGGACTGTGATGGCTAAAAAGGCTTCCAAAGTTCCTGTACAGGGATCACAATTTTTCATTCCTCTTTTTTTTGGTACTGGGGATCGAACTCAGGTCCTTGTGCTTGCAAGGCCGGCAGTGGAACCACTGAGCTAAATCCCCAGACCTTCTCATGCCTCTTTTTCGCTACTTGACTTTTAAAATAATAGCTAGGGGGACGATGGGAGGAATAATTTAATGACTTAACATCTACTTTTCTCAATTAGTCAATAATAAAGGAGCATTGCATACTGGCTAGAAAAATTTCTTGGATGACACTGTGTCCGCCACTTAAAATTCTGCTAGAATAATGTGCAGCGCATATAACATTTCATCTTTCATGCTTCCTTAGCTTGTTGTGTCGTTATAAATTAAGGAAGGTCAAAAATAAGTAATTACTAAATGGCACACGATGCCGGGAGTGACGGCGCACGCCTGGAATCCCAGCACTGCCTTCTGGCCCAGGAAGAACATCTTTCTTTACAGTCGTCTGTTGTGTTGCTGCTCATTAGCACACTTACTTCTTCTTCACCTTGAATTGAAACCATCTTCCTACAACACAGTATACTGTTCACAGTTGAGGAACGAACTATCCAGAATCATTTGAAGTTTCCTTCCACTTCATGGCCTCCATCAACTAATAGGGATTTTCATGACTGACAGTGAGGGAACCCCAACACCATCTAGCAAAATATGTTCTCATGGTGGAACAAAACAAAAAGTAGCTGCCAGGATTCCATACCTCAGCTACAGAAAAAGGACTCCTCCTGTCAATCCGTCAAAAAGAGAATGAAATTTCAATTCCTAGAACTACAGGTGAATATCCAGAATCCCACTGGTCCAAATTCTCCAATCAGTATGCTAGGACTTGTTATGATTTGACTGGGTATCTAGTGGGACATTATAAAGAGCAGAAGTTGGAGTCATCCCCACCGAGCTAATGACTGAGTACAGGGAAGGAATAAATCACTAAATCACCTAAGAGAAAATTAGGGTACTGTTGTTAAGGGAAGAAGGGAATGCATGCTAGGGTCCCTAACAGGAATCCTAACAGGAATCCTTAAAAGTTTCCTTTATCTGGACCAACATCCTCACTAACAACAACAACAACAACAATAATAATAAATTAAAAAGTCACTACTAGATGATGAATAATAAAGATCTTCAGTTTAGGTGAAATCAGGAGAAAAGTTACCACCGTCTTTCAGAGCAGAAGGGAACTCAAAGATTATAAGACAGGTACTGTTGATACCTGAAATATTCAGAAGTTACATTAGGCATCACTCCACAGTTCAAGTACAATGAATTTGTTATTTTAATATGCAAACTCAGATGGACGCGTAATTTTATCAATATTACCAAAAGCACTATTCAGACTTCCCACCGAGGGGCGCTGTTTGGACTTCCAATCCACCTTTTCAATTTACAACCTGAATTCAGATTTGCAATCCAGGAACATGAGCTGCAGTGCAGCCCCGTGGTGGCTTCTCCCACAGGAGAGTACTGTAACTTCTGCCACCTGTAATGTGTACAACGCAGGACTGTAGTTTTATATTCTGTTATACATTACAGTACTGCATGTAAGAGTTAAACAAATAAAAGTCATCCGGTTAGAGTTTCCTTTGAACATGTCTTTGTTCTGAAAATTGTAACGTGCATACTACTTGCGATTCCTCTCTTTGCGACCAATTCATTTAAGGACCCAGTCAGGAATGGGACTCGTTAAACAGAGAATGTCTGTATTAGCATGACCCATCTCAACTCTTACAGGAGAGAGAAAAAGGCTGTGCTTTCCTTCTGGCACTTTCCATTTCTTTTTCAGTTGAAGAAAGATGAATCCCTCCAGACGGATGAAGTGACTGCAAATATTCAGAGACCCTGCAGGAAATCAGTAAACAAGATGCTGTGTAAGTCCTCCACTGGCTTTGCGGCTTGTTTCCTTTTGTTTCTTCTAGGAGCAAAGGCGTTGCATTTGCTATTGACAAAGTACTGTGGAGATCAGGCCCCAAATCACCCTGAAACACAGCATCACAATCTGCCTTTCTTGGTTTCTCCATTTTATAAACACACACACACACACACACACACACACACACACACAGAGAAAGTTTATAAACTCACATACAAAGAATGGGTTGTAATCCTTTTCAGGGCATCACAACCTGCTGAGGCCCCGCCACGGACCCCATGAGAAATTTTATTTCCAGATTGGGAATACATGTTCAAGACTACCTCTAAACTGTCATTCTCCCCCGACACCGTATGACATTGTATCGAAACAGGATATTTTTGTATAGATAAGGGTGATTTTTTAGAAAAAAAAATCTAGGAGGTGATCTGTATGCTCCTAAAGAGTATTATAAAAATTATATAAGAATATTATAAAAATATGTGATGAGCTCAATAAAAAACTGGAAAAATTTATGATCCAGCATTAATGTATGAGAGTTAGTGATAAGGGAAAGAAGATTTATCACTTATTTTTCAAAGCAAAATCTAAGGTTTGAAAGCAATAAATTTTGAAGGGGACTGTGCATATGAAATACTCTCCTATAACTCTGCTGTGTCTATGAACAAAAACATCGATTTAGTGACTGAAGGTGATATTTTGACTTTAAAAATCGTTTTCTTAGAAAATTTCTAGCCCCCATTGATACCTGACTTAGGTACCTTGATACTTGGCCACTGATGTAAAAAATCCTAGTAGCTCATTATCTCTGCTTTTTTCTTTGATGATGATCTACTCACAATAAAACTCACTCACATTAGAGTCACAATAAAAAAACTAAAGTATTTACCTTTAGAAGGGGTTGACTTTTTTTTTTTTTCTGGTACTGCGGATTAAACTCAGGTCTTTGTGCTTGCAAGGCATGTGGTAGAACCTCTGAGCTAAATCCCCAGCCCTAGAAGGGGTTGGATTTTAACATAAATTAAATTTAGAGAATTATCAAAAAAGTGAACAAATTTCCTTAGGAGCCTAAGTTAGAAGAAGCTTCTAAATATTCCTGAAGCCCCATCACATAAGCAGACAATTTGGACACTAAGTTTACTGTCAGCAGGATGAACAAACACTTCTTAAAGGAAACTTCCAAAGACAGAGGACTATAAAATGCATGCCACAGACCCATCTTCAAAAATCATCAACTCATAAGAAGCCTTTTTCTACCTATACCTTTATCTATCCTTCAGCCCCTAGAAGATTATTTTGAGGCAATTCCTTGCGTCACGTCACAGCCAAGGAAAGTATTCTACCACTTCAACAGATAAAAACGTACTTATTTATCTTTAAATGCCCCAAAGAGAAACCACAGTGGCACCAACCTCTGTCTTGAAAGCTGAAGATTAGAAATCAGAAGGAATTCTGTGCTCTAGCAATTTAGACCATAATAAAAACATCCCCTCCCGATCCAAAGATACACACAAGGCAATGTTACAAGTGGGGCTGTGCCATCTTTCTCTCTCCTGTCGCACTTATCACAGAATTTTAAATGATCAATTCAGAGAAACTTCTAGTTCTTTCTGTAATAAAAAGATTAATTCATACATACAAACAGCAGCATGCTATTAATCTGTGACTTTAAAGATCATCCACTTCTTGGTCCCAAATATATATTTAGATAACCAATTTATATGGCTTCAGCAGTCTAGTTACAGCACAATTTACTTTCCACAGTAAACTATTTCAGCAAATTTAAAATAATTGAGAACTGCCAGGCATGGTGGCCTGTAATCCCAGCATTTGGGAAGCTGAGGCAGGAGGGTCACTGTGAGTTCGAGATCAGCCTGGGCTACATAGTTCCAGGTCAGTCTCGACTACATAGTGAGACCCTGTCTCAAACAAAACAAAACAAAACAAAAATAAATTCAGAACTATCACAATGGTTCTAAAGGAAACATATTAGGAATCTTGTACAATCAAATAGAAAGAAAAATAGTCCCAGATCCTATCGCAGTCCATTCTTAGGTTTGAATATTCCACGCCGAGGCTCTTGGAGTTCTACTTTAACTCTAACAGTTCCGGCTTAACTAATGTGGAGGGGGAGACTCCTAGATGGAGCAGAAGGCTCAGAACGAGCATTACATTCTTTCCTTTGCCTTCATGCCTGCACTCTCCTGTTTTCCATCCTCTGCCAGTTGTCCTGGTCTTAGTGTTTGCTGTTTGTTGGATGCCATTTCATGCTGATCGACTCTTCTTCAGCTTTGTGGAGGAGTGGACCGAGCCCCTGGCTGCTGTGTTTAACCTCATCCACGTGGTGTCAGGTAAAAGCTGGGCCCGTCTGGGTATGACAAGTGAGCAGGTAATTACAGCTTTATCGTCATCTTGCTTGAGGCTTCACCATAGCAGCACATCATGGGGAACTGCTGTTATTATAATGCTAATGGAGATACCTGATTTTATTCAGAGGTCAATTAGGCACGTCATTGGTCAAAATAACAGCAGCTACTTTATCTTTTTCTTAAATGTAATACAGGTAAGTATTACTAAAGAAAATATAAATTTTTTTCTGTGAAAAATTACACAAATTGTCATAATATAGAAGAACAATAAATAATACACTGTGTGTCATGATCTTAAAAGAATGGTCAAAATGATACTCAGAATACAAGATCTAGATATTTAAGAGGCTACTTTATGGAAAACCTCAACTCTGTAATGTAATAAATACAACAGAAAAATAGTCAAGGAGTTACTTCTTTGGTTTCCCTTCCAGGGACCAAGTAAATGAATTTGTTCTTATTTAGTAAACGTCATGTTCCTGAAGTCTCACACTGTCCCATAGAAGACAACCAAAGGATTTCCATGGACGTCAAGGTCTGCTTTAGGCTACTTCAATTTTTTTGACAAAGAGACAAAGAATATCTCTCTAAAGGGTTATATAAAATGTGAGGGAAATACTGATGGAAAAGTCCTATGGCTGAGGACCTAGATTTACAACCCAACTATGCCATAATACAGTATTTGGTGTGAACTGTGGTACCTGGCTTCCTTCCTGCCCACGTTTCTATGTCTACAGATGGTCACAGTGCCTGCCCTAGACAAACCATGGGCTGCCAGTCTTATAGCTCATTATAGCCAGAGAAACCATTCCACAGAGAGAAATGACTTGTCCAAAGGCACAGGCTCAGGTCCAAGCCATTGAATTTCAAGCCCAAAGTTCTTTCCACTAAAGCAGAGCGGAGTGTAGCCCCAAGAAGCTTCTCTCCAGTCAGCGTGCCCACTGATCTTAGCTGTTCATCTCTTCCACCCGCTTCTCTCTTCTACTCACAGGCTCATTCTATGGGCTTCTCACATTTTCTCGGAGGTGAGGGGAGAGGAGAGGAGAGGAACGCATGTGGGTTAAACTTCAGATGAGCACAGGACAAAAACAACAGTGTGCATACGCATCCTGAATATCGTGTCTGTCATTCTGTCATCTTTGTTGTACCCAGGCTGTGGTCAGTATGAGAAAAAATGGAAGTGCCTAAATACATCAGGATTCACTACACGTTCACACAGGACTTCAATAGTTAGTTGACTACTCCTCTTTACAGGCAACCATACTTAAGAGTTCTAAATTATGTCTTCAATAAAGACATTAAGTGCTCTAGAAAACACCCTTAACTTGATTTTATATCCTCCAAAGCCACTGCAGTTCCATTAATGACTCCAGAGTTATCAAACTACCTAATAGATTTCTGCACATCACTGCTACACAATATAAATTTTCCTGACCTTGCATATGCTATACCCTCTAGACACAATGCCCTCTACTCTCTTTCCTAACTGTCTCCTACTCATTTCCAGGTCTAACTAGTCTCCAGTGAACCCCCAGGGGCTCATTCTGATAATTACAGCCCTTATGTTCATGCCAGTATATGAATGATTATAGTGTGTCATATTCTGCTGTTCAAAGATACCGATTAGTGTTGTTATACTGTTAGTTATTGAGCTTTGCTCTAGGTCTTGCCTTTACAAACCTATGCTAAGTCTTTGAAGAACAAAGATTAAATTCACTGGCTTACAATATGCCTTGATATTCTTGGCACATAATTATAGTTCAATTAGTATTTATTTCTTGAGTGAACTAACAGTGATTAATAATTTTCTCCATGATATTTTTCCCTGCTCAGTCTGACCACAGGGCATATGGCAGTATGACAGTCCCGAATTATGTAAATGAAGGCAAAACGGAATATGTTGTCAACACAACTTGCCAATGTGTGATGATTACACAAAAATATAAGACCAGGAATTGTTTTATTTTCTTATCCAATCCCATCCCCTTTGTGGATAGTATTTAAACTATATCCTCACAGCAATCCACGGAAATGGGTTAAGCTGGAATCTTCTTTTGCCATTTCACAGAGGAAGAACTTGAAACGTCAGTGTTTCTCTATACCCACAGAACATGACTAGGCCAGGTTAAAAAATGATTACATCCTCTAATTCTCAACCTTGGGCTCCTCTTGGGCTTTGGGGCAATAAATAAGGTATGATAATATCTGAAGAATGTGTAACAAACAGCAAAGTGACAACTGCAAGGCATCTACTGGAAAAAGTATATGTTGCAATAAAATTATTCAATCAGGTAGAAGATTCATTAGGGGAAAAGAACTGGTATGGGAAGGACAAAGGAGAATATATCCTTGTTGACATTTAAACATTATAAAGAATAGTACTTGACTGGGGAATAGGCCTTGACTGATTTACTATTTCTGCATTACTTGCGGTTTGAAACTATAGATTTAAGCAAAATTCCAGTGAGAAAAAAAAATCTCGCTTTCCTTTGATACTTAAGCATCTCCTGCTAATGCTATGGGAACATGCTCTTTAATTAAACAAGTAGGGATCAAAGGAAGTTACTGAACATCGCAAAGAAATTCCATGCCACCCTGAAGGTTCCTTCCTAGACGCTTTCATCTTCCTGCGTTTGATTCCTAAGCGCGCAGGAAGTAGCTGTGTTCGTAGCATTTTGTATTCTCAGTTAGAGTTCTGTTCGCATCATCACTTCCCAAAGGGGCCCTCACGGAGCCTCCAGCCTTCACCAACTGTGTACGCCTCTCCTCCCGCTCCCCTCTCCCCGCCTTCTCAGACGTCCCGTCTAATCCCCGTGTTCCAGGTGTGTTCTTCTACCTGAGTTCTGCCGTCAACCCTGTCATCTATAACCTGCTGTCTCGCCGCTTCCAGGCGGCTTTCCGGAACGTGATCTCTCTTCCCTGCCAAAGCTGCTGCCCCCAGGGTCACTCACGAGGGCCCCCCGCCCAGCGGAACATCATCCTCACCGAATGCCACCTGGAGGAGCTCAGTGAAGAGCCAGGTCCCCAGTTCCCCGGCCAGTCGTCCGTCTGCAGTGCGCCCCTGTCCACTGCCCTCTGCACCGAGCAGGCCCCGCGGAAGAGGCCGTCCCGTTGGCAAGGACCGAATTCCTCGCTGCCTCCTGCCTGCTCTCTAGTTCCTAAAGACGACGAGCCTGGCGAAGCACAGGGCCCCTCTGGAGGGCAGTTTCCCCTCTGAGGAGACTGGGCCCGGGTCATCCACAGGCTGAGTCAGGCTATCAGTCGGACAACCAGAGGCCACGGGCAGTCACAGGAGGAAGAGGCGTCGGTGCCGGTCTGCTCTTCGTGATTGGAGAAGTCCACGTCAGGGCTCCTTGGCAGCAATCTGTTTGCCCTACTGGCCCATCCTTACAACGCGACACGACTTCTTACGGTGTCCTGAGCCTTTTACCTTACGAACTCTGATACCGTGGAAATGCTCCTCCGAATTACTGTCCCACAACTCCAGTCTCCATTGTCATTAGTGGTCTTTTTCATCAGAAACCAGATCAGATATAAATTTTACTTAGAGAAGAAGGAGAAGTAAAGAGGGGAAGCTGAGATGGCAGGTTAGATGAGATATGAATTCCACCGTACAAAAGCGTAGCCATTTTCATAGTTAGACAGATCCAGACATAGTTTTCTAACATCTTATTTCATAGACAGATAGAAGAGTGGGCTATTGTCTTGGAAGAAAGGCACCTGGAATGGCAACTACTGGTCCGAAACTATTCGGCCCTTTAGCTGTCACCTATATGTTCTTCATGTATATGATTCCAGCGAAACCTGCTCCTCAGATTCATCTGCCATTATACCATCACAGGGAATGCGTATTCCATTCAACTGGGTCTGCTCACTCCTCGTATGAAGACACAGTCCATAGTTTTCCCTACCTGTGCATCTCAGCTCACAGGACACCTTGTTTACTTCCAATTTCCATCTGTTTGTATCCGACCAAGGTCACAACGCTCTCCTCCACGTGGTATCTCCTCCATTCAGACATGCCTGGTTTATTCAAATAAATACCTTGGCAATTCTTTTCTCTGAAGCATTTTCGCCTCTCTTCTTTGCGTTTCAGTGAAGTATATTCTTGCTTTTCCAGAATGTAAATTTTTTGCAGGAAGAAGCTTGTGTTTATTTATTTGTTTGTTTTGTTACTGGAACCTTGGCACACATCTGCCACAATTATAAAAGTTCAATAAATAAGTGGTAAAGCAAGCTGGCATCACATTCCAATGTATTAAACTAAACAACGGTTCTAAATACAACCATGTTAACAGCCAAAAGACTAACAATTTGTTCCAGTTAGGGACAGCTGACTTACAGTAGGTCATTTAGTCATGCGATTATAATGGCATGTGCTTTAGTTACTTTTCTCTCATTGCTGAGACCAAATACCTGTCACCCAAAGTTAAAGGGGATGGGGTTTATTTGGCTTACAGTTCATAGAGGTTTCAGTACATAATCGACCAACTCCAAGGCAAGGATAACAAACAGGCATGGGAGATCAGAAACAACAGGGCACACACAAGGCAGCAAAGGCAACAAGAGAGTTAACAGCATCTCCTAGCCCCTTTTATCTTACGCAAACTACTTACGGTGGGTAGAACTCACACCCTTAATCCTAGTGCCTTGGAGCCTAGCATTGCATCATGAATCAATTCCTCCTCCACACACACTAGATCAAGCCTACAAGAGGCATCGTGGGGACATCTAGACCCCAACCATAACAGCATGACTACTCTTTCTGTGAAGCAATGATAGAGCTACTGATGCAGAAACTTGTAAGTTGTATCCTTTAGTTTCTAAATTTTATCTAAAATGAACGATGAAAACCATTGATAAATAAGATTATTGGCATCTGCCATTATCATTTACTAACTTATTAGTCATAGTCAAAGTAAGTCAACATTAAAAACAAAGCCTCTTTGTTAATTATAAACCAAATCTAATGAATTAGAATTCTCCTGGGATGGTTTACATGAGTGAGATAGTTCTCTACTCATTTGAAAATTAAGTTGAAAAGCTTTCAATTTTTCCATATTTACTATGGTGTTGGCAGTAGGTTAATCATAAATCCTTCATCAGAATTGAGGTGAGGTCCTTCTATGCCTGTTTAATCATGAAAGGATGTTGGAATGTTAAAAGTGTGGGGGTTATTTTATTTATTCTTCCGAAGAACCAACGCTTCAACTTTGATTCTTTGCTTTGTTTTTGCCTCAGTTTCACAGATTTCTGCTCTCATCTTTATAATTTCCTTCCTGTACTAGCTTAAAGTTCGGATTGTTCTTGTTTTTCTAAGACCTTGAGGTGCATCCTCAGGTTAATGATTTGGGCTCTCTCTGTTTTTGTGATGTGGACCCTCATAGCTACAAACTTCCCTCTTAGGAATGCTTTCACTGTGGTATGTTATACTGGCATGGCTGTTTAGTTCTAGAAACTGTCTTATTTCTTCCTTGACTTCTGTAGCCTACTGTTTATTTAGTAGGGTATTGCTTAGTTTCCATATATTTGCATACTTTCTGTAAACACTTTATTGGCTACTATGTGGTGTATTCTGAAAAAAGTTCCATGTGCTGCTGCAAAGAATGTGTATTCTTTTTTTTTAAATTTTATTGAATTTATTGGTACATTTTAGGGATACAGCACAGTTACATTCATTGTTGGGATCATGTAACTTTACATGGCAAGTCTTGATTCTCATTTTTTCCCCTTACCTCTGCCCTCCCTTCACCCCCTCAAGAATGTGTATTCTGTTGTTGTGAGGAACACTCTGTATATACATATTATGTCCAATTTTAAAGGTTTTGTTCAACTCTGGTATTTCTTGATTTTTTTTTTTTGTCCTGTTGATCTGTCTTTTTGTGATAGTGGGGTACTTTGTGATAATGGAGGATCCCCAGGGTAACAGTATTTATGTTTATCTGGGATTTTTTTTATGTCCAGTACCACTTATTTTATGAAGTTGGACATGCCCTAGTTCCATTCATATATCTATGTTAATCATTGTTATCTCTTCCTGTTGGATTGTTCCCTTAACCAATATGTTCAGCATTCTTTACTTCTTTTACTCAGTTTTGGCTTAAAGTCTACTTTGTCTGAATGTAGGATAGGTATATCTGGGTTCTTTGGGTTCCCATTACATGGAATGTTGTTTTCCATTCCTTGACTTTTAATATGTGTTTCTTTTTTAATATGTGTTTTTTTGTAAACAGGATACTATTAGATTGTTTCTTAATCAATTCCTCCCAGTCTGTGTCTTTTCATCAGAGAACACAGACCATTCACATTCAGAGTTATTACTGATAGGTACTGACCTGATTTCCTATCACTACCTTACTTTCCTGTTGCTGATACCCTTTCTCTACCTTCTACTTAACTACTCAGCCTACTTGGGACATTCATTTGCTTAGACATTTTGTCATCGTTAGCTTCATTTTTTTTCTCTAGGATATTGTTGGGAGCAGTTCTACATAATTTTGGGGAAAAATCATTTGACAATTTAAATCATGATGATGGCTTAGTGTTCTGGCCTACAGGCCAGCTACAGCATGTCCAAGCTAACTCCTTTTTCACCTCTGATCACAGCTAAGACCTCAAAGGTCTGGTGGTGCTATGATGCTCCAGGGCAGGATTACACCAACTGAAGACATCCTGGGAGCTACCAAATCTTAATCTACATAAATTCCTCATTGTTCTAGGATTATTACCACCACCCTCTGAATCATCTGCTACATTTGTCCTCCGGCTGTACTGAATAAAGTTGTGGCAAGCTCAGGGTCTTTGGTCTTTGCCTCCCAGAGCAGCATGGATCAGGCCCAAAGCTCAGCTTCTTCTCTAAGTCTCTTTTCTGTCTATATATTAACTAATTTGCCTTGTGCTCTTGTGGCTCACAGGAGACTAGGATTTAATGCAGAGGTTCTAGTAACATTCCCTTGCCTTGTTCCCTACAGGACATCATTCTGACATTTTTGGACTGCTGGTTTGGTAGTCATGAATTTCTTTAAGTGATCTTTATCAGGAAAGTGTCTTATTTCTCCATTAATTTTGAAAGATAGTTTGCAGTTATCAGTTATCAGTCTGAGTTGGAAATTATTTCTTTTCAGGGTTTGAAACACTTCACTCCAAGGTCTCGTAGCCTTTAAGGTTGTGTTGAGAAGTCTACAGTAATTTAAAAAAGTGATTTAAAAGTGATTTGTTGATTTTTGTCTAACCATTTTAAATAGTCAGTTCTTTTATTGGACTTTTTAATTGATGTCATGGAAAAGTTCTTTTCTGATTGTGGTTATTTGATGTCTTGTATGCCTCAGTTATTTGAATGTTAAATTCTTTTACCTTAGTGGGAAATTATTCTGCTATTATTTCAGCATACAGTTTTTTTTTTAATGCCACTTATGTTATCTTGTGATTTCCACTAATTCCAATTAATCTTAGTTTCTGTATATCTCCTGGGAGTTATATCTATTTTTCATATTTTGCTATTTTTAAGGTATCTCTCATTAATTTCTCACTGACAACAGCCCTGTCTTCTACTCCTGACAATGTCTTCACACTGGCCATTTCTACTGTCCATGCTTTAGATAAAATTTTTAATGTCCTCAATTTTTGGGGGGGAGCCCTTTTATGTACTCCACTTCTCTTCTATGTTTCTTTTTCATATTTTGCATCTTTTTTGTCATTCTTCTTGCTTTTTATTACTGTATTCTACAGACCTCTTGTTCATTTTGCTTATTTTGTCCAATATCTTTTTATTCAAATCACCTGCGAGCTTGTCAAATTCCTTACCAATCTGTTTTGTTATCTTGCATGATAACATTTTCAATAATTTGAGTTGAGGACTTTTATGTCCTTAAACGTCCCAAGGATCAGTGCTGGAAGAGTTGGAAGGTTTGGGAGGCATTTTGTTAAATTTTCTTCTCATGCTCTATTTTTGTTTGTTTATGCTGAGGCTGGCAGATTAATTAGCATGAAAATCTTTGTTTTCCAGTATGGAGACCTCTTTAGTCAATGTCTGCTTTTCGGTGGTGCCTCTGGGAATGGCTAGCTATTGACCTTTATCTCCATCCCAGGATCCGACCACCTCCATCTACATGAGATGGGAGGTTGCATCATATATAGCCACGTACCAAGCTTTGCAGGAATGGACCATATAATTTTTAATGCCCTAAGGAAATCTAGATATTGACATCCCACAAAAAAACAAGCAAGACCAAGGGGTGTGTCACCTTGACTATAGTAATAAAACCAACACCAATTATAGCATCAAATACAAACTAAATATTGACAAACACTAAGCACCAATAAAGAGCCACTCTTAACCATATAAGAGATGTGTAATTATATTATGGACTATAAGACATGCTGAATATTGAGCAACAATAAATATTTATGAAATAGAACAACTTTGATTCTGCTAACAACGGAACAGAATTTAACAGCAATACTAAAAAGGTGACTGTCTAGAAATATATACAGCTTATACTAGTAAATGTAAAGGCGTACAGAAACAGGTCATGAAAAAAGTAAAATTTGAAAAATTAATGTGATAGGAGAAGGACGGGAAACTGAGATGGATGGCTCTGTTGAGATGTAAAAGGAAATCAATAGTGATAGAAGCGCAGGAAGGATCAGTCAGCGCTTCCCCTTTCAATTTCATTAAAGACTTCACAGAATAATGGTATTAGATCTTCTCTAAATTTCTTGTAGAATGTAACTGCGATTCCACTGGGACTTGGACTCTTCTTTGTTAGTGGGTTTTTAATTACATCTTCAATTTCACTGACTATTATTCCATTATTTAGAATTTTAATATCATCTTGACTCAGCTTTGGTAATTCATATGTATCTAGGAATCTGTCCATTTCTTCTGAGTTTTCTAGTTTCTGCAGGATCCATTGTGATTTTATGCTTTTCATTCCTAATTAGATGGCTTTGAGTGTTTTGTTTTCTTCTTTTGGTAAGGTTGGCTAAGGATTTATAAATCTTATTTAATCTTTCAAAGAACCAACTCTTGATTGATTCTTTGTATTATTTACTTAGTCTCAAATCCATTAATTTCGGCTCTAATCTTATAACTTCTTCCCTTATATCAGCTTTGGGATTGACTTGTTCTTCTTTGTCTAGAAGTTTGACGCTCAATATTAGGTAGTGTGTTTGAGCTCACTCTGTATCCAGCAGGGCTGGATAATCATTTTATAAAGTCCTATGCCTATGTCTTGTTTGTTCTACAAGTCTCTCATTTCAGATTGATTTGGGTATCATGATGTACGTCCATCCTTTTCTTCAAATTACCTGTGCTTCTAGTTGGTTTTCTGTGAGTACCTCCAATGTGGCTCCTCCTCTGTTCAACCATGTGGAATCCTCCTGTGTTACCATCTTTTGACGGATTGTTCCCCTAAGTGGTATATAGCGACCGCATGACCTCATCACCTCTGACCAATTTTAGCTTGAGGTTTATATAGTCTGAGATTTAAAATGCCCTGTTACTTGTTTTTGGTGCCTGCATGCATGACATATTGTTTTCCACCCTTTGATTTTTAGTCTATGGACATCTTTCTGGTTTAGATGCATTTGTAGAATACAACAGACTTTTGGATTCTGTTTGTTTTTTTTTTTAACCGAGTCTGCCAATCCATTTCTTTTAATTCAAGAGTTAAGGCCATTAATTTTGAAAGCTATGAGATAGTGTTTTGTTTTGTTTTGTTTTTCCAGGGATCGAACTCAGGTCCTTGCGCTTGCGAGGCAGGTGGTGGAACCACTGAGAAAAATCCCTGGCCCCTAGATACTGGTTTTGATTGATTACTACGATTATCCTCGAGGCTGGGGACTCTGTCTTCAGATTGGTCATTTCTGCAATTTATAAATTCTATACATTTCTGGTATTTATCTAACACTTTTTTGTGGACTCTAAATTTTGACAAATTTGTCATTCATGTGTTGAATCATCTTGGTTACCTCTTCCAATTTTTTTGTTTGTTTGTTTGTTTCCCCCCAAAATATACATTGGGCGTTTAAACAATAATTCCATAAACTTTTAGGTTATGTCTTCCTTGAACTCATCAAGTTAATGTATCTCTTTCTTAAACAACTTATAGAGTTCAGTTACTTAGTATTTGCTTCTTCCCAAGTTTTACCCCCATGATTGGCCTTGGGAGAGTTAAAAGACCATTGCCATCTTTTATTGCCTTGTTTTCTCATGATCCTTTATGTACATTTGTTTCTCGCTTTTTTTTTTCTTTTTTTTGATCCTGAGAGTAGGTTTAGTAGGATGGGGAGATTGTATAATTGATATAAAGTATTTTTTTATTAATAGACTGATTATAGTGATGTTTTCTTGGCTTTACGTGTCCAGAGATTTTATTTACCTCTTCATCTGTTTAGTTTAAGTGGTTTGGACTCTGCCCCTGTATTTTGAAGGAAGAGTTACTTCTGGTTATAACAGCATCGACAGATCTGAGTATACTTCACTTGCACGTGACAGGCCAGTGGCAGCAAACCTATGAGACATGTGCCACAGTGGGCTGTTTGTATCAGTAAAGGCTCTACAAAGTCCACCATCACCATGATAGGCTTTGCATTTACATTTTCACCCTTTATCAATACTCAGTAGAGCCTATTTTCAATTATTAATAGCTGTTTTCTACACTGTGGCAGGAGAAGCGCAGGGAAAAGACTGAGGCATGTGTGAAAGGTGAGAGTAAGTCCATAAGCGAGGAGTTTGGTAGGGGTAATTTTGAGCGGTGATAAAAGGCAAATGCGATACAGAGTCAGACTTTGCCAAGGTGCTCGTAGATGGATTGAAGGGTCCGTTTTGAGGGGTTTAAGAAGATATCTGTGGGGGTAAGGACAAGACAGTAGAGGAAGGGAGTGTCCTTGGGATTGTACAATGCTATGCTGCCGTCAGAACCTGTTGATAAATTCGTGTACCTGTAAGGTGCAAACGAGGCAAAGGAAGACACAGTGCGGTAACACACAAAGAGCAAGAGGAACTGGATGAGGACAGAGGGCGAGTGCATGAGGAGAGAGGACTAACAGAGAGAGAGAGAGAGAGAGAGAGAGAGAGAGGACTAACAGGCTAAACAGCTGAGAAAGAATTTAAAAAGTGGGAAAACCAGATATGAAATAAAATACTGTCACAGGAACTTGACATAAGGAAACCAGATAAGGAGATGCGAAGAGGGAGAGAACATAAACACTAACTACACAAAGTAAATAATAATAAAAAAAACACACAAATGAACGACAATCAAAGACAAGCACAAATCACAGAAAGTATCTGACAGAAATCACTCCAACACTCCAACAGGAAACTGTGCGTGTGATTTTCATGGGACCGCTTAGCAAGAAAGCCCGGGCGTTTGCTCACACCACTCCCTGCTTGCACTGACTGTGATGACATAACACACAGCCACACCAGCACCATCTCTGCCATTTCTACTGCAAAACTGAAGCTAATTTAGTATAGGACTTCATCCTACTGGCTTATAGGCAAGGTCTGAGGTGGTCCCTATGTTTGGTGGAGGAGCTCATCCCACTCCCCAGGCACGAGGCAGAATTTGCATGAATGTTCACTAGCAAGTGAGGGGCCATGGAATCACAGATGTGCTTGTGCTCCGGCAGGGGCCTCAGGGATCTGTGACTGCTTGTACACACCGGCCAGTCAGTCTGCAGGAGACAGCAGTGGCTGGCGTGGAACCGCTCGGCAATTCTCTTTCAGGTGGGAATCCAGACGTTCCTTGGAATATGCATCCCACGCCACCCTGTGAGGTGAACTGGGCCCTCCCTTGCCCTCAGTGAGTGCTGGTGGGGAGTGAGACTGCAGTGGCCAGTGTGAAACTGAGAATCAGCTATTCACGTTCCGGGGGCGTTTGCAGATTGCTCAAGATGTATCAGTGTTGTAAGAATGCAGAGATGCTGCCATGTAGGGAACAGGAAGGGCATGTTACCAGGACCTCTCTACCATGGTTCTGGCCTGTGAGCCACCACAGCAGAAGGTGAATTCAAGAACAGACAGGAAACGAGACTTCGAGGGCTAAGGCTGGGTCTTGGGACCTGGTCAGTGCTGCTGATGGCAACAAAGACAAAGACCCCCAACCAAGCACATCCAGAATGCACTGAATACAGTCATGAGACGGAATAGGGAGCAGGGTGTGATCAGAAGGCATCTAGGGCAATACTGCTGAGTACTTGGAATGAACGCACCAGGCAGGGGTGTCAGGGAGTCAGCACTGCTTATCTTACTTGGATGGAACAAACTGGTACTGGGGCGGGGGGAAACTAGAAAGTAAGTCTGTGAGAAGCCATCATTTAGGGAAAAGGATCTTAATTGGGGTCACACTGACCTCAGCTGCACATAACTCAGCACAGCCCTGCCACTTTTCAGACCAGAACTTAGGCTCCGGTGACAGCCATTAGCCAAGGAGCAACGCTAGCCCAACTCTGCTAGCTGACATGCCCTCTTGAGTCACAGAACACTTCGATCTAACTCCTGATATAAAACACTATAAGCGAATTAAGGGAGGCAAGACACATGTGCCACCCATAGCCTGCTAGTCCTGGGCAGAGACGCCTGTGACGTTGTCACTCAGCCCAAAGTATGTGGGAGAGCACGCTCACCTCGGGAAGCACTGGTGGAAAGGATGCGTGAGAGGGCAGCGGCTGGCAAGAAACACCACGGGAACTGGTGGTGTTTCACTTTCAGGCAGACGTGCTCAGTGCCTGTTTTCATCCCCCTCTCTCCACCCAAGGTGGAGGTAAAGCCATCATTCCCCAGAGCTTCGATGGCAGCTGCTAGGGAGAAGGACCTGGAATATACGAATTCAGGCCCAGCAGTTCCGTCTCCGCCGCCGCACGCCTACCCTTCTTTCCCTCCCTCTGGAGTGGGAGGCAGGAAAGGAGCAGAGCGGCCTCACTGGCTCGGCCTCCCCCCACGATTCAGTCATTAGACTCCCTATACGCGAACTGTCTTTCTGAGTAGCATTCTAATTCAGACTGTAAGAACCACCTCAACTCCAATAGGGTCCTTGGGGCTCCAGGAAGGTTAGTCTGAGAACTTCTAACAGTCTGGCTTCTCTAGCCAGACAAGCTTCTGGGTTTTGACAAATATAAAGAGGTAGGAACATTCAGAGAATGATAAAAACCTTAGGTAAGGGGCCATGGGAACTCTCTACACTATCATTATAACTTTCTGGGAAATCTAACATCATATTTAGATGATTTCGTGTATTGGATAGAATATATTCTATGTTTCGATTTCTTACTGTTTCAGACAGTTTTTCACTATTGACCAGGCTAGCTTTAAACTCCTAGGCACAAAGGAGCCTCTGGTCAGCCTCTTGAGTGGCTGGGACTAGAGATGGCTACCGCTACACAGGGAAAATTTTTAAATGTCATATTCTTATTTTCTCGACTGAATACTCGTATGAATTATTAAATCTTAACATAAGTATTAACTTTGATTTCAGATCTTCAAACACCAGATATAGCAAAAACTATTCAAAACCAACCTCTCTCGGGAGTACATAGCAACATATCTTTATTTAAATGTAGGTAGGAGGTAAGGGGGACTTACGACTTACCAGGAAGCAGAAGAGAGATGTCAAATCTCCATTCCATCTTGGCTGGCCTGCCACTGCTCAGGGTCCACATCCACCTGACCTGTCTGAAGGCGGCAGCTTGCGGTAGTCACCAGGCACCCTCACCCGGGCCCAGCCTGTCCACTCAGCAAAGATGCGGCCACCTCTCTGGGCGCTGGGGGATAAGACACAGAGAAACACATTAGACAAGCGTGCTTTACTGCCCATCACTCACCACTGGGGAAGCCGAGTTTCCCTGCCTTGGCACAGGTCACCCCCACTTTTCACCTGGCAAATTTAAAGTACAGTCCCCCAAATCCCACAAGTTCTTCCCAAAACTTGGACAACAGAAAGATGACAGGCTTCTGTGTATTTGGGAAGGGCCACAGCTGCCCTCACTTCCTTCTGACTCACTTGCTCACACTGTTAGCATTTTCAGTCTGATGCCATTCAGAGACCACTGGGAAGACTATTTCAATCCGCTGATCGTACATCACCACTACGCACCCATCTCAGTTCCATCCTGGGATGTCCTTGCATTTAAGAACAGTGCCTTATTTCTCCTCCCGAATCCAGAAACGACTACACATTCTGGGGTCCTGTGGGCCATTAGTGAACAATTGGCAAATGTATAAATGACACCTTCACTGTCCCAAGACCTCTGACTCTGCCATTTGGCTTTATCTACACAGGCATGTGTTCATAACACCCAGAAACTCTTGGAGTTTGAACCACAGGCATGTAATTGAAAGCCATCTGAGGTTCTGCAGGTATTGGGGCACCAGCGTACTGAGGTTCTCCTTCCATCTTCCAGACCAATATGCCCCATGCAGGGCTAGCAATGCCAACTACATCAGGACCAAAGAGGAACACGCCCCTTTGAAACAAATGTGTTCATTGCTTACTGCGTAAGGCTCATTCCACTGACTCCTGCCAAGAGTTCTCTCAAGAAACCTCACACAGCCAACTTAAAATTGCCTGCAGAGAGTTTGGTTGCATTTCAAAAAGACAATCAGTCCTATGGCTAGAGATTCTCCATTGATGTGAGGCCAGAGTATGAGCTGGAAAACAAAACAAAACAAAAATTTTGCTAAGACCTGCTAATCGATCTGCAGCCAGCAGCTAAGATTTTCAAATAAACACCAAGTTTGATGTAATTTAGTGTGTTTGCTCAGTGCACCATTTTACCCCCGGGTTAACATGGGAAAACGAGGAAAGAAACTAATTGCTCTATTATCACTTCAACATAATGGGCCAGGGCCCCAGAGCAGCTGCTGTTCTCATTACATGGCGGCACAGGGGAAAACCATTTCCTCTTTCCTTAGGTTCAGCTTCTCTGTGCAGAGCTCTGTTGACAAGACTCTTGTCTAGCCTGCCCTGACCCACGGTGGTGGAGCTACACCCTCCTGTTAGCTGTACCTCCACCTCCTCAACACCAAGTTTGCATCTCCAAAAAGATCATTCTGCTGCCAAATGTACTGCATCTCCGGAAACAATAACGTGGTAGCGAAAAAGAAATTTCAAGAGACCCTAAACGCCGTTCCTTAATCTTACTAGCTGCGGGTCTCTGGGAGAGTTACATCATTTTCACTAAATTGTAGTTTGTTTGTTTTTAAATGTGTAAAATAAGGATGAAAATGCGGATGCTAACAGAAGCTGGCTCTGAGGGCTGCTGTGAGGAGTAAATGCAGTTTAGCTAATGAAATGAGCAGCCCTGGGTCTAGAACATGGTGAACTCTCAACTGCTACCTGTTGTGACCACTACTAATTTTAAATATGTTTAATACAGCATCCAAAATAACTGAAAGAAAAGGCTAAGGTAATTATAAAATGTGAAGAAGAGAGACCCTAAGCCGTTCCTTAATCTTACTAGCTGCGGGTCTCTGGGAGAGTTACATCATTTTCACTAAATTGTAGTTTGTTTGTTTTTAAATGTGTAAAATAAGGATGAAAATGCGGATGCTAACAGAAGCTGGCTCTGAGGGCTGCTGTGAGGAGTAAATGCAGTTTAGCTAATGAAATGAGCAGCCCTGGGTCTAGAACATGGTGAACTCTCAACTGCTACCTGTTGTGACCACTACTAATTTTAAATATGTTTAATACAGCATCCAAAATAACTGAAAGAAAAGGCTAAGGTAATTATAAAATGTGAAGAAGAGGTGCCCTTAGCAGAACACGGTAAGAAAAGCCACCCAAGGAGAAAGTAACAAAGGGTAGGTTTGACCTCTTTACGCCATTTCTCATTAATATTTTCTCATACTGTGCTTCTATTGTCTCTGTGTTCTGAGGATAACTGTAGACATAGAAATGATCCAGAAAAATGAGAATCTGTGGTTTAGTAAAATTGGTATGATCTAGACATACATCAGAATTTTTAATTTTTCTCCAACAATGTACTAAGATCCAGAATAAGTACGAAAGGACAGTGACGTATGAAATTACAAGGTGCACTTTCATGACTCAGTTCTGTTCTTCACCAGTGAGGACCCCTCTTTATCCCTTTTCTAGGATGTGTAATTTGGGTGCAATGTTACTTCCTTTACCTTCAAAGACTCTGAAAGTCAAGTTGCTAAAAATGTTTCAAAAAGAAAGGGCTACGCAAAAACTGGTATATCGATATTTATAGCAGCCATGTCTCTTCAAACTGCAAAATCATGTTCTTTAACAAAGAAATGCATAAAAACTGTTAGATTCATATAATGGAATATTACTTTCCAATAAAAATAAATGAGCTATCTACCCACAACGACTCATGGGTGAATCCTCAATGCATATTGCTGAGTTAAAGCCCGGATGAAAGGTAGATGCTGTCTGACGTTTTAGATGCCATTCAGGTAGAGGTAAAACTATGAAAACAATAAAAAGACATGTTTAAAAGGAACTCAAGGTGGGAGAGCTTAAATATTTAGAGGCAATTAAAACACCTCTCTAAAATGCTGCAACAGCAGACAGCTGACAATATGGAACTCTCAAAACCTACTGACAAAAGAGCGTCCCTTAGTGAGTACACATGAAAAATCACTTAGGAGATTGGTGCAGCCCCAGAATGGAACACAAAATGTGAGAAAACAGTTGTGTCATAAAAATATGAAACGATGTCGCTGAAGGGAATCGAGAGAAAATGCACTAATCTCAGTAACATCAAAGAGAGGGAAGGAAGGGAGTGTAGGAAGGGTGTAGGGGAAAAGGGAAATAGACTCTCAGAGTAACTTTAACTTGTCAGCCATCCAGGGCACAAAGCTGAAAGAAATGAGCAACAAAGCACATTAATATTGGGTTTTAATCAAAGGTATAAAATAAATGTGCACGAGCCTAGGCTGATGTAAATAAATTATGGAATAAAAAATGGCAGAGAAGACACAAATTTCCCACGCAAACCAATTCCAAACAATGTAGGTCGATGTGTTGCCCCCAAGAGCTGGAGCACCCGTCCCCACCCTGTGACTTTCTTCCCTGGAGCAGTGGGGACCAGCAGGTGGCGAAACAGAAGAGGGAACTTCAGAGAGCAGAGGCCTGGCAACTCCACCTTACCCAGGTGAACTAGGAAACGCCAACAATCCTGTCAGGTGAACACATACAGCCAGAACACAACGTGATAAAAAAGGCACCGCACATCTGGGACGTCCTCCGACTATCCCAGGATCCCAGTCTCACCTGAGAACACACAGACAGGTTCCAGGGGGGCAGCACTCTCTAGATCAATACTGGCCAGATTCTCAACGTTATCAAAAAAAAAAAAATACAGAAAGTACGAGAAAGGATCAAAAGGAGCCTCTGGGAACACTGGAAAGAAAGAAATACAGTGCTGCATCCTGAACGGACAGTAGAAGGGCATTAGGTAAAAACAGAGCAACAAGGAAGTAAGGACTTCTCTTAATAATCATGTGTCGGTGCTGTTGTATTAATTATAGCAAATCTAGGATACAAATATGAGATGTGAAGGATAGGGGAAACTATGTGCAGCGGTAGATCAGAACTCTCTACTAGTTTAGGATTTTTTTCTGTAAATCTAAAACTGCTCTTAAACATTGAGTTCATTTAAAAATACATAAAAGAAGAAAACCTGCAAGTGCTACATGGGTATTGCTTCCTATTACTTTGAAGGACTCTATATTTCCTCCAAGTGGAAGTTAGGAGAGTCGATATTCTTATTTTAAAAACAGGAAACGTCAGAATGAAGGACATTCCTACAGCCAGGAAGTACCAGATTGAGACTTCAGTCCTAGGCTACTTTCCCCTTTCCCTAAGTCTACATGAATTCTTCTGCATCAGCTATTACTACAAATAAAGTTCAGACTAAAATGCACAAAAATAGAACTCATTAACTCCACACAGATGAAAGGACCTAATATAGGGTTTTCCCTGATTCATGCCTAACTTCTCTACTAAACCATTTTTCTCCCTGATCTTGTCTATATTTTTCAAGCAGAAGGTATTTGATTTAGCCCACACTCAGATGAGAAAAATGAGAATTGAAGTTGAGTAGTTACACAGCATTTTATACTCATAGCTTACAAAGCCGTTGTCCACGCGTTATCATACTGACATCTCTAAACACTCCTGCAGAATGTAACCCTCTTCACATTCTAAATGAGGAAACTGAACAGAAGCACAGAGGAAAACGAAAAGAAACACAGTGGGTAGATGAGGACACCCACACTATTTCACTCTGTAGACCGGAAGAGACAGCACACTGTTGTTTGACCCAGTTCTGTGTTGAAGTATTTTTTTATTTTCTTGACTCTGGTTGGCTCACATGAAACTGACTGTGCAATTCTAGTTTTCTGGACACCTTGCCTCTGTGCTGAGATTTTTGCCTTGATCTCTAAAGGCTCTGTTTTCTCTCTAGCTTAGGAGGCTCACAGAAATCTCAATAAAAATCTGAATAAAGTTTTTCCTCTTTCTATTCACAGTCTTTCTTTAGTAATCAGGACTTCTAAAAAAGCCATTTAGGGAGTAATAAAATCCTTTGTTTCATTATTGTTCTATAATTTTTTTAAGGATACATCCAATTAAAGATGAAATCAGCTGCACTCATTTATTAAGACTGCTTAAAATATTCGTTTATAGTCTCTGTCTATATGGATATTTCCCATTACATGGTTAACGATTTATCTAGTGATAAATCTAGCTTTCTTAATAAACTACTACATTGTACATTCCTGTGTAGGATAC